GCTATACACAACTTTGAGACTTGAAAGCCACGTTTGGGGCGCGCTCTTTGCACCCGCCAGCATAAAGAGAAGGAAGGACTATGGAGACGAAGCGAGGGAGAAGGAGTGAGGGACAAAGGGACGGAGGAAGTGTGTAAGAAATCTGACAGAGGTGGGGCAGGGCATTGACCGTAACAGCAGGCAAAGGAGCGGGAACAGGTGCAGAAAAACGAAACCGAGAGCTCGTGCTAGAGAGGTGGGGAAGAAAGGCGAAGAACATGGACAGATCGGAACGGTAGTCATGCGTGAGCGAGCGGCGAGAAGTGTTGCCATGACGGCTGGAGGAGCAGAATAGGTCCTTGACGAGAAGAGTGGGGGGAGAAGGGGGCAAGGGAAAAGGGGCGAGAAGGCGAGAGAAGGGTGGGGGCAAAAGCAGAGGAAGCTTGACCACGGAAACAAGGCAGCGGAAAGATCGGAGGGCAGCGCGTTTGAGAAAGAAACCCGGGCATACAGGTTTGTGTTTGAAAATGAAAAAACGCGCGCGAGAGAGAGAGTGAGAAACAGGATTGGCTACTTGATTAAGAAATCATTCACACATACATTCAATCAATCATCGGGCCAGCCAATCCTGCGTCCAATGAAGCGATCGACAGAAAAGAGAAACCAGCGAAGCAATCAAGCAAGGAATGAAGCATGCAAACAAATAGTGAAACAACGAAACAAGCAACGAGTCAAGCAACCAGTCAAGCACACAATCAAAAACGCAATCAAAAACGCAATCAAACACGCAATCAAGCAATGAATAAAGCAATAAATAAAGCAGGCAATCAACCAGGCAATACAATCATGGCGTACCTTAATTCCTCTGACAACTGATACTCTTTCGAGGCTTCTCCACTGCTTGTTTTTCCCCTGAAGACTGTGTGTGTGTGTGTGAGAGAGAGAGAGAGACAGAGAGACAGCAAGAGAGAGAGAGAGAGAGAGAGAGAGAGAGAGAGAGAGAGAGAGAGAGAGAGAGAGAGAGAGAGAGAGAGAGAGAGNGAGAGAGAGAGAGAGAGAGAGAGAGAGAGAGAGAGAGAGAGAGAGAGAGAGAGAGACCCTGCATCTTCTAGTCATTGTATGTCTGTACGTCTGTATGTCTGTGCATAAGACCCTGCGTCTTCTAGTCGTTGTATGTTTGTACGTCTGTACGTGTGTGCATGTGTGTCTGTGTGTCCGTTCGCGCGTCTTCCGGTTTGTGTTCCCGTCGTTCCGTTCCCGCGTCTTCCCGTCGTTCGCCTTCCCGTTTCAAGTTGTCCGCGTACCTTCCCCTTTCAAGTTGTCCGCGCCAAGTTGGCTGTATTCTGTGTATTTGTGCATGTGTACGTGTGTGCATGTATACTGTGTGTCCGTTCGTGCGTATTTGTTGACCTTCCCGTTTCAAGTTGGCGAAAATGACAAAACGCGAGCCACAAGCACCACAGAACCAAACAATTTTTTTTCCTTTTTTTCCCACCCCAGTCCGTCCATTTTACCAAAAACGCCAGACCAACGCCGCCCCTTCTTACTTTTCTTCTTCGGGAGCCGCCAGGCACTCGCATGAGAATTGGACCCATTTTACCGAAAACGCCAGACCAAGGACCGGTCCTCTACCCGAGCTAGCTGTAGGTAGTCCGCAATTTTCCCAACGACCGGTCCCCCCAATTTTTTTGCCCCCTGAAAACCCACTTTGCGTCCTGGTCGCCCACCGCCAAAAATGCGACACCATGACACAGACGCGGAAGCACACTAGACCGCAGCCTTAGGGCTGCGAATATCTATCAGTTATCACACTCGCATGCATACGACAAGGGGGAACCCTCGGAGGGGGGGGAAAAAAAACAAAAAAAAACCATCTACAGTCGTTTAATCCACCAAGTATTCTATCCCTGTCACAAACACAGGGAGTCCCGACACAAAAACTGCATGCCATCTTAATTCATTCGTGGCGAGCAACACATGCTGGGACACTGGGACGGGTTCCCAGCACGTGTTGCTCCTCACGAATAAATCGGTGTTTCCTGGATGTATGTGAGCACTTTTCCAACCCACCCTGGATGCATCGGACTGCAATTTTGTCCGCAGAGAAGTCAAAAAGTCCTATGGACCGATGCACCTAGCTCAGTTGGTACACACCCATGAACTGTTGAAATACAGACCCGAGTTGGAATCCAGATGCCACCAGACGACCGAAATAAAACAATGGTTACAATTCTGAATTACCTGGGGCTGGTCATTTCACCTATGATATCTCAAGGTCGTCGCCCTATTTGAAAAAAAATAAAATAAATAAAACTGTAGTGTGAGTATGCATTGAAGAAAGATGTCCACCAGCAGGGACCACCATCTCCGACCACTTTCCCATACAGGAAAAACTCACCTGTTCCTACTCCAGTGGGGACCACAATCTCGTAGGCCTTGCAAAGGGCGGGACCGCGCAGCACTGGGAGCGGCCCGTAGGAGGCCGAGGAGGCCGCAGTCCTCGAGTTTTGGACATTTCGAAGGTCCACGTTTCTCGAATGGCAGAGCACTTCGAATAGAACAAGTACAATTTGTACTCAAATACAACGTGTACACTTTCTATTTGAATTTCAAAAAGAAAAAACTCTTGTGTTCCAATAACATTACTTTTTTTCTTTTGAGGTCAGCGCCTGCCCTTGTCCTCACCACTGACATGCTGCATGCTGCAGGTCTCTCTCTCTCTCTCTCTCTCTCTCTCTCTCTCTCTCTCTCTCTCTCTCTCACACACACACACACACAC